GCCCCTAAATCTAATGCGGTAATGCCAAACTTCAAAGTAAACAAAAGTCAAAAGACAATAATAAATTGTAAATTCATAATCTATGAATCTGTTCATTACAAAGAACAAGTGCCCAATAATTAAGACAATATCACAATATGTTGTTAATATTGTGCAGTGTGCTCCAGCTATGTTGATACAGTGATGCGTTCATGTGCATCGAAAATTTCAATTCTCAGATATTTCAATATGCAAGAGGAAGACTCATTATCAAAATGACAAAAGCCCCTTCGCTTAGCCTAGTAGGTCAGTAACCCACACAACCACATGACCCAACTTTATAATAATCAGTTAGAAATTTAGATTTTTTTTGCAAAAAAATTTAAATATTCATAAATCATAATATGAATCACACAACAACTTGATAAGTTCAATCAACAGTAGAAATCAGTCGTTCGAGATTTCCATCTTTGATTTCTTGAATCTAATTTCATGATCGTTAATCGGCTGGAAAGAGATTTCCATGCCTTGAAAATCGAATAGTCGAACTTTGAAAAACAATAGAAATTAGATTGAGTTGTTGGAATGATGGCTTAAACCAATTCACGATGTGCATTCAATATTCATCACTACTAGGCCGAAGGCCTGTTTTTTTAGTTAAAACTCAGTTGTTCAATTCCCAAATTATTAAACCCACTAATAGATGACAACTTGATGCCCCTTTAGGCTTTGATGCCCTGTGCGACCGCACGGGCTGCACATGGCCAGGGCCGGCCCTGCCTAGAGTCATCGTATTTGAATCTTCGTGGCCACAAGGGGATTTTTATTGGTCCTTGGATTTGAATCTAGGACCTCTAGGTACTTTTGACCTTTGAAGTCAAGCTCAAACCAATCAGACACCATCCTTGTGGTTATATTCATTGAAATTTTCAATTAAAATGTAAGGTTTTCTATATACGTAGACAAAATGATGGTATTTGWTAAAGGAAATTGAGTGGGAGGATGTCTTTTTGAGTTTTGTGTTAGTTTTTAAAGTGAAAATATGTTGAAATCAGGAATATTGTGTTAGTACTAAATACAAGATGTTAGTCAATAGCCAAGCCACAACATTTGCAGAAAAAAGTCGAAGGGTGGTGATGATATTGGTTGCTATCGACGGTAGAAGGAGAGGAAGACCTTATCGAGAATAGCATAAAGAAGAGAAAGTTACTATCGTGAGCGTAACGTGTTAATTTTCTCTTTGAGACAGACAGTTCGTAAGGTTTACCTATTGATTGAGAAAAATATATGCGGAGTATTATTGGATCTTGAATTCCTATTCCAGTAAATCCTTGAGGTGAAGTGGTAAAAGTTAAAAGGAACCTATCAAGCATGAAAAAGAACACAACAAAGACCATCAAAGATAGAGAACATTTATATTAGTTTTTAATGTATTTCTTAACTTTATTGATAAGTTGGAAATAACGAGACAAAAAAAAAAAAAAATAGGTTCCCGATGAAAAAAATGGGATTTGAGAGGATCTAGAATCCATGTCACTAAGCGGTGGCGTTGTAATCGGCCACAAATAGCTTGCTCTTTTTTTTTTTTTTTTTTTGGGATTTGAGAGGATCTAGAATCCATGTCACTAAGCGGTGGCGTTGTAATCGGCCACAAATAGCTTGCTCTT